TATATATATATATATATATATATATGTGTGTGAAACAAAAACCAAGGCAGGCTACATGTTGCTAAGTAAAAGTTTGTTGCAAAAACATACATACCTTTCCCTAAGTTGACATTTTGCTACAACAGTAGTGTTCGAGTTGGACTTGGTGGAGCATACTTTTGGGGTGGGGCTAAGGCAAAAGGATCAGAAGTTCCAGGACTACATAGCAACACTGTGTCAAAGAGAGGAAAGGGGGAGGGAGAGGCGGGGAAAGGGAGAAGGAATCGGATCAGAGAAAACACATGGTCAGTGTGGTTATGAGAGACTTTGGATAAAACCCTTCAGAGGGAGCCTGGGGCTCCCTGACACCATTACCTATTTCCTTCTTGCAGGAAACAGTCGGGAATAACAGGAAGTGGTTATCATATGCTGTTCTACAGCATGATGCTGTGTAGCCAAGAGGACGGGGTGGGGTCGGGGGGGGGAAGAGAGAGCCTTTAGCTGTATCAATCCCACACAAGACAGACTGTGAGTCTGTTTTCTGCCAACAGACTTTTCCAGGAATCCCCCATAGCAGCTTCTACTGCATCTCAGTAGTCAGGAGCCCCTCACGACTCTCCTTAATTATCGGGGAAACTAAGAAATGTAATTTTTGTAGGTGGGAATGCCATCATCTCTAATAAGAATCAGTTCTGTTAGTAAGAGATGTAAGAAATAAGCTCTGTACAGGCAGATGATGTAAGCTGGTCCACTGAGAATCACTGCCACGAGAAGCCACTGAGTATATAATTGCAGCAAATTAACTTGTTGGCCAAACCTGACTTGGATACCCAGAGGCTAATTTTCTCTTCACTTATCCACCACACATATTTCAGGGAAGGAGTCTGAATGCATTTCATTATTGATTGCTGCCCAAACAAACCTCCTTTATGATTTTTTCCCCCGACATCTAACTCTGATTTATAAGGTTTATAAGTGAGGAGAGGACTTAGGGCGATTTGATTGTTGTGTCACTATGATGTGTGTAGCACACAGCTTTCTGGATCACTGCCCAGAAAAATCTGCTTTTTTTAAAAAAAATTTTTTTCCAAACATTTCAAAAGAAAATGGAAAACTTTAGATTGAAAATAGAGAAAACCTAACAAAGTGAAAAATGATTAACAGTGGCTGGTTTCACTTTCATTTTGTCCCTTCCTTTGTGTCACTGAGAGCAACAGGACTTGTAACCAAGAATCTAAAATAGCATACTTGCCTAGAGTGTTGAGAGAGGTTCGCAGATTGGCCATCACCTAACATTGCCTAATGTGATGTTACCAGCATTAACCAGGATACATGTACAGTATATTAGAAACAGCCTACATCCTTTTCTTTCTTTTTTAAAGAACATCTATTTTATATTATTGTTATAAAACATTATTATAAAATATACAAGGAGATATAGTCTCATTTTATAGTTGAAATAATATTTCTTGTGTTTTTGTAAATCTGCATGTTTTATTTCTTTGCTTACGTATTTCTTTTTTTTAAATCTTTTGTGTTATTTAAAACAATTTTAAAGTTAAATATATTGTCACCAAATTTTTCCCTACCAAGTTCATCCAGATCCTGTTTTCCTCCCTACCCACCCAACTTTAATTTCTTTCTCAAAAAATAATCCACAAAATCAATACAACAAAATGCCCAAAACCTAGATAACAAACCACCCCCCTCGGAAAAAAAAATCTCATTAAACTATAACCAAATACAAGCATATATTGAAAAACTGTGTGGTCTGTTATTTGTTGGTCCGATATTCCTGAACACGAGATCTGCCCTGGAGTGGTTGATATAACCAGTGTCACTCCGTTGGAAAAGAACTGATGTTCTCTCTCATCCATATAATTGATTGCTAACCCAAAAGTGGCAAGGTTTACAACCATTCAGTCATTTTTTTAAAAATATGACAAAAT